TTCACTTTTTCGACAATTCTGAGCTACCTAATGGTTGGCCACGCTTAATGAGACGATATCCGATAAATTTTTGTGAAATCTTGAAAGTTCGACATCCCATTCCGGAATCTAATTAATGGCTAAAACCATTCAATCGCAACTTTAGTGTATCTCAAACTAATGAACGGCGTTTAGGAGTTACGCGTATCGACTCGTGGCCGATTCGATATCGAGCCACATCCAAGTTTACTCAAGCCATGGCAACCTCGGTTGTCATGTAATTGCGAGGGTCAATCACTAGTTCCAATCCATGTGATCGTTCGGATTAGATTTAGGATAGTTCGAAATTTATACAATGGTCAAGCGGAATCATCCGCGATCCAATTGTATAACATTTACGAATCGTCCCATAGCCATCCTTGGATTGGTTTATAATGGCCCAAAATATCTCCTCGTCGATCCTTATTATCGAAGTGTCGATTCGCGGCCAAGTTTTAGGTCCACGTACTTGATTCCTAGTTAGCCATTCCCTAATGGTTAGTCTTTTCAAGAGTAATCAATTCCGAGTGAGATTTAACTAAAGTGCATCGATAATATAATCATTTCATAAATCCCAAAAATGGGTCAAATTTCAGAATGTCATAATTAGATTAGTAGATGGAATAGACCATTGACATTTAATTTGATAAAGATTGATCAATTGAATGGACCATTGACGGTTGATTTGTTACTATTGATTTTATATCGTTGATTGATCTTATATGTAAAAAGTTTTGTTGAAATGATATAACTTATCGTGCCGCGCCGAGCGCGCTTGGAGGTACTTTCGTTCATCACGAATGGTAAGGTATCTCATTACTAAATAAACGAGGGTCTTCCCCCAACCATACCTCACGAGACAGCGGGTATTTATTTTCTAAGTCCATTTGGTCTACATTTCATTTTGGAATCGCCACTAGTGTTTAATGGTAGATTAGAAACCAATCGAGACAGGGGAGAACCATCTCGATTTCTGCAAACCAGAGATATCATGGGTAGGGAGACTTGGTTACATTAATGACTTCGATGTCGAAATCCCTAACGCCCTTTCGGTACCTAACTCGATTTGAAGTGTCTAGCGTAGTATGCAATTTCTCCAGGCTTATCTGCTAATCTTAACCATTCTAAATGAGAGGGAATCAATCAATCATGAAAAGCACAATCAATTCTAATCACAAACAACAATCCTAATAGTGTCCCTACAAAGGAAAATCAATCAAAACAATCAAGGTTTAGTGAAGCCCTAAAGGCTTGTTCATTTTTAGGGGTTGTGCTTTTTTTAGGGGTTTTAGGGTTTTTTAGGGGTTAGGCCCCTTTTGCGGGTTAAGCACCTTTTTAGGTTTTTTTAGGGGTTAAGCCCCTTTTTCTAACCTCTAAACTAGTAAATTTTCATAAGAACAACTTGTGCACCCCCAAAAATTCTAATATCATTCAAAATGAGTGGCCATAAGTGTTCTGAGCCATTCTACAATATTTTGAATATTTTGATTTTTTTTTGAAAATTCTTTATTTGACTTTCCTACTTCCAAAGGTCTAAATTGTCCATTTTTTTAAATTTTACGAACTTTTCCATTTTTTCGATTTTTTTGAAATTTTTTATGTTTTTTACGTATTTTTTTTATAAATTTTCCTAATTTCTACAAATTTTTCGAGATTTCTAAATTTTTTATGATTTTTTGAAATTTTTATTAATTATATATTTTTCTCTGAATTTTTCCTAATTTTTATATTTTTTTAATTTGATTTTTTTAATTTTTGATTTTTTTTAATTGTTATTTGTTTTCCTCCCGGGAATAAACCAAACCGGTTCAGACCGGCTCAACTGTGTTGGACCGGCCTGACTGGTCTCTGGTCGTTCCCCAGCGAGGACGGTGCCAAAATGGCACTGTTTTTTTGGCTTCTTTCTCTTAGGCCTTTTCTCGAACAAGCGATGTGCATAGCCTAACATCTGTTCCTCTCACCAAGACTTTGCCCCCATCTTTGGCGTCTCTCGTTGGTGCTTCGGCCACCACCATTGTTTCTAAGGTACTACCCCAGCACCCTCTACCTATCAACCACCACCGGACCACGGTTGGCCGCTAGTTGGCCGGCTATTTCTAAGCGAAAAAGCCTATGCCCAAAATTGTCCTAACAAGAACAACCCTACTAACACAACAAATCCTAACCTAACTATCCATTCTAATCAATCAAAAATGCATTTATACATCAAAAGGATCACAAAGGACTAACTTGGACGGCCATTGACTGTGGGAATGTACTCCGACGAAATTCAGATGCTCCGGCGAGGGTGTTTATGGAGGTGGACTCGGGATTATGCAAAAACACGATCCAAAATGCATATAACAAGCAAAGCAATGATTATAAACATGAATATGGAATCAATAATTACAAAAATAGAAAGGAAATTACTGAATCAATCACGTATGAGCTCGGTCAATCACTCGAGCATTTCAATAAACAGTTGGGGTACGAGTGAGAAGGAAGTTTACCTTCGTCACCGGCGACTAAAACGAAAATTTTGAATCACTAGGAGGCTTCAGCTTGGTCCTCCTGCACCTATTCCATCGGCCTTCGGGCTTGGCTTCGCCGAGAAAGCCCCTGATGTGAGGGTCAAGATCAAGTTTCAGACCTTCTCGATTAGGTTTCCGCAAGGTGAACGGAGGAGGAGGTCACCAGAATGGTTGATTCGCCGATGCCTTTCTTGTCGGGACGGCACCGGTCACTCGGTCAGGGGGACCTCAACTCTCTTCTGCTCTCAATTTCTCTCTTTTTCTCTCTAGTTCTCTCTCTTTGGAATTTTCATGAATAGCTTCTCTACTTGGAACCTTCTCTCCCACCCTTTTTGTTCTCTTCCTCGAACCGTTCCTAGCCTCTAACCGCCAACCTGAGCCGTTGTAACGACTTACCGTCTCTAGTTGTCCAATTTTGTTTTTCACGTGTTTGATTATGGGATTTAAGTCGATGAACAGGCGGGACCGAGTCAGTTTTTCTTCTCCTTTACCACGCAAGCCTAAGTCGGGCAAGGAATAAGCTAACCTAGGTCGGGTCGGGTTGGGTTGGGTCAAATCCGACCGACTTGTCAAACCCAGGTTGGTCTAAAATTGTAATATACCCAATTTTGACCTATTTTCACAATTTTGACCCCAAATTTCAATTCCTTGACACATTTTACTTTGAAATATGGGATTACTTCGAATTTTAATCTCAATTAAGCCGAAAAACCCCAAATTTGAATTCGGATCAAGTAGGTTTTTCTTCAATTGGATGCCTAAATCACCTAATTTTGCTTATCTAAGTCCAAAATTGGATTCCCCAAGGTCGATTACCCTTAGGGAAGGTATAGACTTTGATAAAACATTTTAAATTGAAAGAAATCCCCAATTTGGGTCCTAAAATCCCTAATTTTCAATTAATTTTTGGGGTTTTCAATTATTTTGTCAAATTATGAAATTTGATTGACCAATATGAAATTCAAGGTCCAAGGATCAATTGTTGTGAAGACACTACAGCCTAAAAATGTCTAGAAATGACTTAATTGGATTTTTAGTTCAATTAGGATATGAAATTACCCAAATTTGGGGAAAACATATCCTTAATTGAAATTTTGTAAAATTGAAGCTGCAGGGCTGAAATTGGAATTAAAGAAAGACTAATGACTATTTTTGGGAAATTTTTAGACTTCATTTGGTATTTTTCTTGATTTTCCTCTCATTTTTAACCAAAAGAAATTAAGGAAAAATTAAACAAAAATCTAGAAAAATTATTATTTTTGTTTAGAAATAGGTTCCTAAGCATGGCCAAGGTTTCTTATTCTAATTTTACTATGTTTATGTAAAATTGAAAACTTGACCAAAAATCAAATGTCATTAGTTGCCCCTCTTTGAGAGTAAGCTCATTAGAGGTTAATCTCCACGACAAGGTGACACTTGAATTCTAGTCGACCCAAATGAAAAGACAAATGAAAATTTCATAATAACTGATCAAGGATCTTGCTTAAAAATTCCTGTCCCAATCCAATTTTTTCACTTTGATGCTCTTGATGAACTTTTGATGATTGAGGGAGAGGAAGGAACTTACCTGCTCATTGGCGATTTTCATTCATGAGAGATTCATTGTCGATTATTTCAGAGAGTAGAGAATGATGATAGTGATGAACAAACTCTGGGCTGCAAAGGGCTCATCAAGTTAGTTGCAACAGTAATTTGAAGATAAACTTGCAAACTTGAAAATGTGGTTTAAAGATAAACCCACTAACCTTGTGGTTTAAGGATACACCTACGAACTTTGAAAAAAATCAAGGTTTAAGGAAAATTAGGGTTTAAGGAAAGACCCGGAACCGTTTGAAAAATTGGGGTTTAAGGAAAGACTTGGAACCATTTGAAAAATCAGGGTTTAAGAAAAGACCTGGAACTATTTGAAAAATCAGGGTTTAAGGAAAGACCCGAAACTATTTGAAAAATTAGGATTTAAGGAAAGACCTGGAACCATTTGAAAAATTAGGGTTTAAGGAAAGACCCGGAATCGTTTGAAAAATCGAGCGATTTGAATGTTTTATATTTTGATGTCAAAACATGCATTTCTTGTATTAATGCATTTAGACAATCAAACTTCCATCAAAAGGATGTATTGTCACGCCTCGAATCCCAAGTAGCGCGCGACACCCCTAAGCTGGTCGAATTGAATGCGACGTCCCAGGTTCATCGCCGACTCAACCCCAAAAGCATCAGAGATCAAGCACATGCAGAAACAAGCATAACACCCGGACAAGAATTAGAAGAGGGGTAACAGGGCGAAGCCACCGCATGAATAAACAAACAACTGCCATTAACACAGGACGTACATATAATATCCATTCTTACAACCAGGTCAGGCTTATACGGTTGGCAACCACCTATCATCAAAAAGGAACAAGTGGTTTGGGTAGGTCAGCATCTACACCAAAAAGGGCATTCCCCAAAAGTGGTTCTAATAACTAGCCCTAGCTAACCCCTACGAGACCCAGCAGGTGACCACTCGGGGTCTGTCCCCCTAGAATCAGTATCAGGCTCCCCATGATCAGCCCACTCATATTCTGACTCGAAGTCAGCCTCGATCTCAATCGGGTTACCCTCGGATCCTGATTCTGATGGGACCTCAATCGGCTGGTCTTCCTCGGGTTCTTCTTCTTCGGGCTCTTCTTCAAACTCCTCTTCAGGCTCCTCGTCCTCTACCTCGGGGTCTTCAAATTCTTCAGTTAGCTCATGCTTAACCTCCGGCTCCATAGGGCCTGCCCCCTGGTGTGACTCCTTGGGCTCCAGGTCGGGCTCGACCTCCACAGGCTCGGGACCCATGGGTTCAGGTGGTGGTATGGGAGCGGGTGTAGGGACGGATACAGGACGGGTCTCGGTACTGGTAAGTTCACCATCGGGAGGAGGCACAGCTGAGGGATCCCAATCACCTACCCCATCAAATGGGGCATCAAAACTTCGAACAGGCCCGAACTCATCCAACTCGTCTTTGAAACACCACGCCATGTACTTGTTTGGTTGTAGCTCGGGTAGGCCCACGTCTACATACACTATTATAGTACGCTTGATCCATGCCTGGTTATTCCCTATAGGGTACTCTATTGCCAAATTCTCCGAATGCATCGGGATGCCAAAACGTGTCGGAGGGTTATTCATTGTCCAGGTCGGGGTTCTGAAATGGTTTAGTTAAACAAACATGAGAACACGTCTCAGCAAGTATACACCCCAAACCCCACCTAGGCTAACACGTACCTCCATACAAAAATAAGCATTCAATTCATGTAATCCATAGTGCATATAACAATCACAGGCACACTTACCCGGCCTTGTCACATACGTAAGCCCTGCACGTCAACTTAATCACGATAATATGTCAATCATGACGTGAACACTCTAAATCACATGAAACACTCAATACATACTCGTCTAGTCATGATAATCCGAATACTTGCCAAACTTAACTTCACATCTTGCATTCGTTCTTACAATCAAGTACACGTGTTCAGCTTTTTCACGACCCGCGTAATTACGCCTCAGGTCCACTTTCGATCCACGGTTCACGTACAACCGTCTCATATTCACAACACTCCTTAGCCCGCATTACAGTACACGCCTCAGGCTATGTCTCTTGCCCGCGTATCACGCCTCAGGCTCAACATCCTCCACCTACTGCACAACCCGCGTAAACGCATCAGGTTGGCGATCTTCCTGTAATACCGGGCATCGTCCCGTGTTATAGTACACGCCTCAGGGATTATGTGATCAAGCGAGCACGTCAACACACGACATTTTATCCGGACCCCGCGTTACATTACACGCCTTAGGGTTTTTAGTGATCACACGCACACCGCATCGCATGGATTTTCACACATCCACACGCTTAAACATCATACGAACGTGCTCAATCTCCAACCAAATCAAATCAACCCATACTCACACAAATGAATTCTGAATTTCAACCATAAATTCCACATTCCGCCAAGCATAATAAGCTACCACCAAGCCGATAATCACTGCCCATAAAAAGAACATATAATCATCATATTCATGTTAAATCTAGCCACAAAGGCTATCACAAATCGGCCACGGCACCACACAACAATCCAACACGTTTAATCCACGAATCAAGCCATACGCTCATCACGCTAAACCGAAATTTGCAGCATGCATAACCACCAAGATCAGCCCTTATTTGGCCTTTTTCAAAATCATCTTTTGAAATGTCCAATCTGGCTTTTCATTTCATTCATGGGTAGAATATTTTGACTGCATCTGAATTTACAGGATAAGCCAATTCTGTTCCATCCATGTCTACAAGAATCAATGCTCTACCTGGTAGGACTTTCGTGACAACATATGGGCCTTCATAATTTAGGGTGAATTTCTCATGAGGATCTGAATTATTGGGAATGGTCTTCTTTACCACTAGATTTTCTACTTCAAAATGCCTTGGTCTAACTTTCCAATTGAAAGATTTAGCAACTCTCTTCTGATCCCTCAACCTCTTCTCATCGATCATGTTGAGCTGTTTGTATCTCTATTGAGTCCATTCAGTTTCAGAAAGTTTCAATTGAGATAACACTTTTAATGAAGGAATCTCCACTTTCACAAGTAATACGGCTTTCATTCCATAAACCAAAGAAAATGGCGTTGCCCCAGTTGATGTACGAATTGAAATTCGGTGTGCCATTAAAGCATATGGTAACCTTTCATACCAATCACGATAGTTCTCAGCTGTCTTTGACAGTATCTTTTTGATATTTTTACTTGCTGCTTCCACTGCTCCGTTCATTTGTGGGCGATAAGGAGATGAGTTCAAATGGTGAATGTGAACATACTCGAGCAAGTCATCCACAATCTTGTTGTTTAAGTTTGATCCACTGTTAGTGATAATTGCTTTGGGATTAATTGGCCCAATCATGTCGATTGCCCTACATCGAGAACGGCCATGACTCAGACATCTGATGTAGCTCATTTGGAGAGGCATTGATTCGGTCTCCATAGACTTGGCACTGATGGCAATATCTCACATGTTGAATGCAGTATGTTTCCATTGTCATCCAATAATACCCTAACCTCATGATTTTGCAAGTTAGAAGATAGCCATTCACATGCGGACCGCATTCGCCTTCATGGATTTCTTTCATGATTTGATTAGCTTCTTTGGCATCTACGCACCTTAGTAAGACTAAATCAAATGACCTTTTCTAGAGAGTCCGAGCACTAAGAAAGAATTTTTTAGCTATCTTCTTTATGAACTTTCTATCAGCCAATTGGCTCCCCTCGTGAAATTAACCTGTTTTGGGATAATTCTTGATATCATGGAACCATGGTTCATTATCAAACTCTGCTTGAACTTCCATGCAATATGCTGGTTGCTCTAAAATGTTGATTCTCAATGGTTTAATGTCTAGACCATCTTCTGTCTGTAACAAGGATGATAAAGTAGCCAGAGCATCTGCAAAGTGATTTTGAGCTCTTGGTACATAATCAAATGTGATCTCCTCAAATTCTTCCATCATCTCTTCCAAGTATTTGTGGTAGGGCACCAACTTGGAGTCTCGGGTATGCCATTCACCCGTCGTTTGTAAAATAATAAGCATGGAATCTCTGTATACTTGCAACTTCTTTACTTTCATTGAGAGAGCTAATTGCAAGTCAAGTATGCATGCTTCATATTCAGCAATGTTGTTAGTGCATGGAAAGACTAACTTTGCAGATATTGGATAATGCTATCCTTTTGGGGAGATTAACACTGCCCTAGTTCCTGATCTGGATAAGTTGGTTAAGCTATCAAAGTACATGGTCCATTTATCATCAACTACAGCCAAGACGCGGCCATCGAATTTATCTTCTTCATGATTAGTAGATCCTTAAGAATTTTTTGCCAACATATTCGCAATAGCTCATCATTTAATAGATTTTTGTGAGGAACTTCTAATGTCAAATTCTGACAATAGGACTTGCCATTTAGCCAACTTCCCAACCAAGGAGGATTTCTCTAACAAGAACTTGATCAGGTCATTCTTGTTCACACCTAATTTTTAGTCGACGTGTCATGAAGGTAAAATTTTGAGATTATGGTTTCTGATCGCGACAGAGCCCAATTCTCAATCAAAAAGAGTCATTTAGCATTTGAATTAGCATTATCCATTCATTTTCTAGTTTTTTGCATTTCAATTTCGAAAAGTCAAAGAGTTGACTTTTGAGTTGACTTTTTGGTCAAACTTTGACCAAAAAGTCAACTCAAAGTCAAAATTTTGGTTTTTTGCATGAAAACCTCCAAAATAGTGTCAATTTCACTTTTACATCATCAATTTTCAAAAAATTCAAAGTTTGACCCATTAATTGACATTTTACTATATATATACTAAAATGTTGACTTTTTGGTCAACACTTTGGCCAAAAAAATTTAAAAATTTCAAAACCACTAAATCAACTCATTTTCAGCTTATATTTCACTTTGGCATCATCAATTTTACAAAAAATCGGTTTATAATCAATTTTTCCCCAATTTACGGAATTTGGTTCAAATCGGCCAAAAATGAAATTACTTCATTTCTAGTCATTTTTTAGGATAGTTTCCTTCACAACATTTGATCTAGAGGTCGTATTGTATTCAATTTTGGAGCCAATTTCGTAATTTCAAGCCAAAGGAAAAAACCCCCAATTTAGGCCCTAATTAGGGATTCCGATCAGTTCTTCGTGATTTGCGTAATTGAGACATGAATGAGCCTAATTTGTTATATGAAACTCAAATCAGAAATCAATTTTGGAAGATTCACATGAATTTGAACCAATTTGATCAATCTAGTGACCCAATGATTGAGAAATCCAAGAGTATTCTGTCCAATTAAGGCAATTCAACTTGACCCATTCTAGACTAACATCTAATTTGATGAATTGAAGCTCAATTTGGCCAATTGGACTTCAATTAAATTCATTAGTCTAGCTTGGTCATACAAATTAACTCAAATTAAAGAACAATTGGGCTAAACAAGTTAAAGTGGATCAATTTGTGCTTGGTTCAATCCAATTTAATCAAATTCAATATTAATCGGGTCAATCAATCATGCTAGGGATTAAATTGTATAAAATTGGAACAAATTGGGCTAAGAATTAAACCTGTTCAACCTCGTTTGACTGGATTTGAACTGGTCCGATCGGATCGGCCATTTTCCGAGCAAAAATCCGGTGACCGGCTGTCCATTCCGGCCTGCTACATCCCCTGGTGCCCAAAATGAAAAAAATGCCCTTAAATGGAAATTACAAAAATGCTCCTAAGTGAAATTATTAAAATGTCATTCCTTAAGGATTAATCAAATTACTTAGGGGTTAAGTAAATCAATCATAGCCATTCATTTAAAACATATCATGGCCATCCATAATGTCATGTTACCTATCATTAGCCCTTAAGGAATATTCTTAATCATTAAGTATGCATTCTAGGTCATTAGATTGATCTAAGGGCTAAGATTCAAAGTTGGGGGGAGGTATATAAGCTTTTTCCATCCAAAAATTAATAAGGACTCTCATTTTTCAGATCTGTTTTCTCTCTCTTCTTTCTCCCTCTCTCTATATCTCACGTTCTCTCCCTCTCTACTCTTGGCCGGGATCTCTCCTTGCTTATGCCGGCCACTTACCGGCTGGTTTCCAGTGCACTGCCGCCACTCCGGTAACCTCCTGAATGTCCCGAAGCTAGTCGCAAGACCGGCCATAGCTGGTGGTGGCCAGAGCACCTCTGATTAGCTTCATCTCTCTCTCTCGGTTACATCACCGGTAACTGAACCGGTGATTCATCCAGCCAGCTTCCGTGGTGATTCCGGCGATCCGACGGCTCCCTTCGATAATTTGGAGTCTCAAGCGATCTTCCTTGGTGTCCTTACGTGGCTGTGGTGGCTGGCCTCCACCGGAAAAGCCATTGGAGTTCCATTTTAAGCTTAATTTTGCTTCTTCTTTATTGGATCGCTATCTTATGTCGATTTTCTTACCGTGTGACGTAGATATCGGGAGCTATATTTGGCGCCATTCCAGAGTTCATCGGCAGCCAAAATAGCTCATTTGAACTCAGCACCATTATTGAACAAGGTAAGTACTCTTGGATATTATCCTGCGAAATCGTGTACTGAGGAGTCTGCATGCTTGAAATGGGGGGA